ATCTTCAATCTCAGTGCCCTCACCGGCCTCCGGTGTTGCAGGGTCATAACCGCAGGCAAGACGAGCCTCGCGTGCCTTCGCCGAGCATCTTCAAAAGCGGCCTCAGGAATGCTCCCCGCCTCCCACAAACCCTTGTATATATCTCGTTAGGCCTCAGCATGGACCCATAGCTCGTATAAACCGGGGGGAGGGGGGACAGCGGCAGAGGCAGATTCTTGAAGGGGGCCTAGGCTAACAGCTACACCTTCTCGGCCTCAAGAGTCGTAACTCGGTCTCCCGGGCTCGAAGCATCCCTATCAAGTTCACCGATCCCCTCCTCCAGCCGTGCCTCCCTCAGTGTGGGCGTCGCCCTCTCGGCTTCCCCTCAGACCTGAGGACACGGATGGTGTTTTCCAGCGCTGCCGCCCTCGCCAAAGCCGCCACTCGAGCCCCCTCGGCTCTCCCCAACTCGGCCAGCTTCTGCTCTAGATCGGCCACCTGCTCCATCCATTCTGCACTCGAATTAGCGACTCTAGTAGCATATTGCTCAAGCTCAGCTAACAAAGACAACACCTTCGCCTAAAGATCCTCGCACTCCGCTGCAACCCCTTTGCCCACCTCGAGCTCATCGTCTTTGGCATTAAGTAGCTCTTCAAGCTCGTTGCATCTGCGGATAGATCGCATCAGTTTCTCGTCTCTTTTCTCCAACTCCTCCCTAACGGATTGAGTATTGCCACCCGCCTGAGATGCGCATGCATCTCATAGCACTTGTTGCAATACCGGCGATACTTCGCGGCCATTTCCAGAAAGACTTCGGCCCGCTTCTCGGCCCTACGAGCACTCTCGATCTCCACAATGTAAGTCTAAAAAAAAAGAGGAAGAGAGGAATCAGCGAAAGAAAAATTACCCAAAACAGAGAAAATAGCGGAGAAAACTCACCCTCAAGGCCATCCCAGCCACACCGCGTGACAAAGCGGAATCATTGATCTCCTGAAGAGACTCACTTTCGGCGGCAGAGCATAGAAGGTAAAATTGGGGCAACAACTCCATCGTGTCCTCCAAAAGGATAAAGTCCGATGGAATCTCGAGTACACGAGAAGGACCTTCCGCCCTCACATCGACCCTGGTAAAGCCCTCCTCGAACATTCTCATGTCCTCAAGATCGATGTCGGAATCAGATTCGTGTCATCTACTGCCATGCCTTTCAACCTCTCATTAGACGAAGAGGAGGCGCGGACCTGCCGAGATGAAGATGGACCGCTCGGAACAATCGGCCCCCGAACTCTATCCCCCTACCACGGTGGTCTCTTCCAAGATCAAAATAGGCGCGCCTACGCACCTAGGCCGGTATCACCGCCAGCTTCAGATACCGCCAAAGTAGGGTCGCCCCTCGAGGACGTACCAACCAAAGGCGCCCCCTCTGACAACCTCCGCCTCTTTGACGGTGTCTCTTTGCCACTGTTGCGAGAAGGTTCGCCCGTTGAACGGACCGTGGAAACAGGAGTGTCCGACCGGGGAGCAACTGCCAAACAAACAGGTCCAGTCGCAAACGCGGTCTGGCGAGCAACCAAACTTTAGGTGCCCTCATCCACAGTTACCCTTGAAACGGGCCGGGTTGAGGAAGCCGGCTGGCGGAAAGCAAGTGCGGGAGACCTCGTCCTTCTCACTCCTCTCCGACCTGTCAATGAGAAGAGAGTCGACCAAACAAGGATAAGGTAAAAGAAACTACGAAGCAAAGAACAAAATAACAGAACGTAACGAGCCGACTCACCGGCAAGAGGCTTGCGCCCAAACTTCTCATGGAAAGGTGCCCATTCGTGAATCCCCATCGTATGGGGGAGAATCGCGCTCACCCACTCGCGAATATCAGCAACCAGCGGAGGAGGTACTCTCTCGGCTGCAGAAACAAAAACAAACCCTCAACGAGGTCATTAAAGGGAGACGACCGACAACCATCTTAAGGAAAAATGCATAGGGTAAAAAGAAAGGAAGACCAACGGGCAAAATTCCACGTCTCAGGATACCCTGCCGGGTTCGACACTACGTGCTCCGTGCGAACATAGAAGTAATTTTCCCAGAAGCGTCGGTTGGTCTTGTCGTCCATCTTCACCACCAAACCCTTGGCTCCTCGGTGACGCATGGGAATCATCGTGCCCCTATGAAAATGGGGGCGAAGAGGTGAAACATGTGTTGTAGAGAAATTCCTCGGTTGGCTAACTCCGTGTACTTGCTAAGCATAAATAAGATCTTATATATGTACGGGGAGAGTTGGGCCGGGCACACCTCGTAGAAGCAGCAGAAGTCCACCGCCAACGAGTGAAGGGGAAGTGTGTATCCAATGACGAATGGATATGCGTAGGATGCGCAGTAGCCCGGACGGTGTATATGCACTATGTCCCGACCCGCCGGAACTAGCTCAATATGATCAGGAATCCCCCATTTGGCTTAGAACTCCGTGAGCCCATAGAATCCATCGTCGAGAAAATAGGTTCCAGCTCATCCCCAGCAGAGCTGTTGAAATCAGTCATTGCCTTCCCTGTATGGGGAACCACCTCATCTACCGTTGGAAAACTCTCGTCTTCCACGGGATCAACTCCTTCTTCGATTAGGGGTACATTTTCTGGCACTGGAGCACCAATGGCTCTATCAGAGTTAGAATCAACACTAACCATCTATTCTTTGATTGAAAGAAACGAGAATGATAAGAGAAAAAGGCAGTGGTCATGACAAATCCCAACAGACGGAAGTATGAGAAACTGAAGAAGAAGAAGAAGAAGAAGAAGAAGAAGAAGAAAAAGAAGAAGAAGAAGAAGAAGAAGAAGAAGAAGAAGAAGAAGAGGAGGAGGAGGAGGAGGAGTTACAAAAATCTCTCTTGAGCGATTAAGAACGTAGCATTCAAATGAAAGATCCTCTTCTATTTATAAATATGAAATGCCCTAAGCGGGAAAACCCAAACGCCGCCACTTAGAAGACGGAAAGGGCACGGGAAATGACGCAATGCATAGAAAACGTGCGCCATGATGGACGCATGAGGAATATTAATGACATTCAGAACTGACGTGATGGCCTGACACAGCCCTTGAAACGTCACGTCGCTACCTCGCCATGAGGTGTTCGTCTCTCGCGCAAAGTGTTCAGATTTCTCACAATCAATAGAGTCCGCCCATCGAGCTCGCCAAGAGGCAACCCCAACGGGCGGAGGGACTAATTGTATGGGTCAAAATCTGACCAAACGAGAATCGGCATGGAAAGGGAAGGTGAAAAGTTATTTGAGGCAGCTGTATCCATACAACACTATAACGACACGCACCTCGGCCATGGCCGAGGTCATGGGAGGTGAATGAATGTCACGGCATTTCAAGGGATTAACTCGTAATACAGTCAAACGACTTAAGTACTATGGTTTATGACCGTTGGGTAAAGAAGAAGACCTAGTATATAAACTAAGTGAGAAGAAGAAGAAGAAGCGGCGGGGAGGGGGGGGGGGGGGGGCAAGAAACAGATCCACACACAGTCACGCTCTCTGAAAGGAGGAGGGATCTTCATCTCTCTTTCTCTCTGAAGGAAGTAGAAGCAAGGAAGCTCATATCCTCAATTCATATCGTTAGTCTCACTCTCACCATAACAAATGTATGGAGTTCTACCTCGTTAAAGTTCGGTGACCCTCTTCATCTATGTATTTTTCATGGCTGTTCAACGTTATGAAAGTTATCATCTTCTTCTTGTATAACGGGATTTAACCGATGTTATAGTTAAATTTTGTACTTGCTTTGTTCGCTTATTCATGCCTTCTATCTCAGATCTAGGGTAAATTACATTTAGCTAGGATTTACCTAATATCTTCATATTTAATTAGTTTGATGAAAAGCTTAACACTTTTTGGTCAAACAATTTTCAAACAAGTCGCGGAAAAGGCAATAGGAAAAAGGATGTTGCAGAAAGAAAAATGTGAAACACCAGAAAATTTCAAGGAGAAACTGACACCATACTGGATCTTAAGTAACAGTTTCCCCATTTAAACCCATTTTAGATTCTTTCTACTTTAAGATACAGCTCAATGACTTGACAAGAGCAAGTATCATATTGAGCTTCTGCCATATAGCAATTTTGCCATTAATGTAAAGAGAATACATTCAAGATCAAATCCATGACAGATTAATTCTTTTATGGAAAAAAAGGACAACCCGGTGCACTAAGCTCCCGCTATGCGCGGGGTCCGGGGAAGGACAGGGCCACAAGGATCTATTATACGCATACTTACCCTGCATTTCGAGGTTGTTTCCTCGGCAGCAACCTGTGACCTCCTGGTCACATGGCAGCCTTACCTTGCAATTCTTTTTAGCAAATTGCTAAAATTCTACATGAGCGACAGAACAACTGGCTGTAAGATTAATGATTCAACTTTACTGCAGCAAGTTTAAGTATGATTAAAAAGTTTAATCTTGTTGTTAGAATATGGTAACAGGTAGCAAATCTCCGGTACAATTTATGATATCATGGATCAGACTGAAAAATCAATTGTAAGATAGGTAGAAATACTGGAAGTTGCAGCAACTGTGCAACTAATAAGCAAATTCATTACGTGCGTAAAGATATATCATACAAAAGCAGAGACGTTACAGTAGTCCTTAAATCCAAGATATTTAGACACTTGATAGAAAATGTCGATATAAAGGTATGATAACAAGCTTAATCTGAGCCTATAATCTGGTAGAGTAAAACCTTAATTATGTTTGGTCCACATTTTTCTTAAGAAGTTCCTTGTATGAGTACTCTTAAAAGTTCCTATCCTTAATCTCCCAACTTTATTTATGATCCCCATGTTGTTGCAGGAACTATATTGACCTTAATTTGCTCCTATAGTTTATTTGATTCTTTAATAACATCTCATATCTCGCTCTTGCCTCATGAAAACAAGGTACATTTTCTTCATTCTTGGGCTGAAAACTTTAGTTCAAGTAGTATAATATCACCAAATTTAAAAGAAAAAGATGACTAAATACATTAAGTGAACATTAATATAGATCAAGAAAATTGCTTCGCTTTGCACAAATTAGATTACATATAAGGCTTGCCTTTGTCTCCGGAATGCATTTGTTTTCCTCTCTTTCTTTTTTGCTTTTTCAAATGCTGCATTCGTCATCACTTGACAAACAAACAAAAACCTTGTATGAGAAGTCAGACAGACACAGAAGTGTCTGCTCTGTGATGTGTACTGTCAGGAAGCGTGTTTGCATCAGTCTGCTGCAACATCACTTGCCATAAAATGCAAATTACATTTGAAACCTAATTGAACCTGGAAAGCTTCACCCTATCCCTTGAGCCGAAAACAAAGCTACCTATCCACGATTGTGACATTCATCTCTCATAGCCAAGTCTCTAGCAACTTTATTGGCTTCTTCATACACATGGTAAATTGCACAAGTTATACGCTCCAGCATGTCAAAAATTTCTTTCAACCTATTCATGGTTATTTCATTTGGCTCAGGGTGACCATTGACATATTGGACAAGTATAACATTATCTGACTCCACAATCAACTTTTGTGCGTTCGGCTTTCCTTCTGATCAACCTATGCCTCAAGGCCTCCAGTCCAGCAATCACATTGTCGTCAACATGAATGGTACCACTCTACCTACCTAAACACATTCCAGTTTCATCTTGAAAGACGCCACTATATCGTCCTTGCTGATCACCTTCTGTACCGATCCCATAGATGTTTAGCTTAATCCAACCTAGAGGAGGAGGAACCGAGTAGCATCTTAAACAACGAGGCCCACGATATTCACCAAGAATTTGCGCAAATCCCTCACTGGTCATATCACTTTGCATATATTCCAAAAATGCTTGTTCAAAATACCTGCAATACAAAAGTTGAAAGTTACATCTTTAGGGATGAAATACACTTTACCCTCCTTTGGTTCCTCCTTCAGCTCACTTTTATCACTCTATAGTTTCAAGTAAGCAAAAAATTTCAAAGTACATTGCATAATCCAACCAACAAAATCGAGATTCTCCAGCAAGAACTTAAATCATTCGCATGTGTAAAGAACAAGAGAAAGTAAAAGGGCAATGACTTCAATGATATGCTAAGTTGAAACACCTTTGCTTCCAGGAATCAACAATTAACAGAATTAACTGGCTCTGCATAAGAGAACTGTATTCAGTAATAAATAGAAAGTTCAGTATCTAGTCTCACATTTAAGTACCTTTGCCAATCCAACCAAGGTCGCTGTCCCCCATCCTTTATATATTCTGTAATCTTAGTCACTGAATCAACAAACAAAAACATCTGTTCAGTGCAAGTATCATGAGATCAACCAATAAATTCTCCAACTTGAATCAAGATAGAAAGAAAACTAGTACCAGGCAGTGAAGTTTCCATGTCAATGTTAGGATCCACGTCAAAGAAATGCCAAGCAAATCTTGAGAAGACATTAGTATAGATCTGCTTGTATCTAGTTTTTATGTCAATCTCTGTTGTGAAGGGGAGAATTCTCTCTAGACGTTCCACTGTTTCTCCGTACAAACTACATTGTGAAATACTGGTCAATGAATGGTGAAATGAGTTTGTCAGTAGAAATATCTGGTTGATACAAGACAAAGACCAGTTTGCTCCCAGAAAGTTGCCAATAAGATTATAATTAGGAACAGGCATGTAGAACATTGTTGGTCTCCGAACTTGCCTCCTACAATTTTCATCAATGGTCAAAACCTCAAATCCCAGTTTCTTTAAAACTATCATATCAGCTGGAGACAATAAAGGATCATATACTTCTATATTGCCAATCCAATTGGGAAAAATCTCGTTTTAGTAGGAGAACTACGGCAAGCTGAAACTGTGAATGAAAACTGTATTCCATGCTTCCCAAAGCATAGATTACCACCTGGACATGTGAATGGGAGCCTAAAAGGCGAAACAGATGTTTTTGAAAAGTTTTACTCTGTTCGAGATCGAAGCGCATTCCAGCATACATTTCAGAGTTCTCAACATTCTTCATCATCAGTTCAATCTCTTTAAGCAACCTTTCTGCCTCATCTTTTATGTGAAAATAAACATTGGACTCCATATTCTCACTGGAATTCATCTTTATGCCCCAGGATCAGATTAACGTTGGGCTCTAGCAATTTAAATACTGTTTGAAACAGCAAATAATGCAGCAACTCACTCTTGTGTTCTGGAGTTAATATAAACCTGTAAGTGTAGTACTTTGTTCTGGAGTTAATATAAACCTGCAACTGTAGTACTTAAAGTACAAAATCAGTAGCACACTGAAGTAGCTTTTCAGCAACAAAATGCATTTCTCATTATCTGCAAGTATCGAACTCAAAATTACAGAATTGCTAGCAGGCTAAAAGTATACTTGCTGCACATCAAATGCTGCTTACTTGACGCCACGAGATATTTCAAGAAGCACTCAGTTGACATCTTCTCTATTATAACTTGGTTTAATTGATATAGAAGAGGGTACTAAGAGATAAGAGGAATATGAACATACCCTCTTTCTTTAACCCATTTAGAACAATCTTGTATGATTTGTAATCACTAAGTTCAAAAACCAACTTCTTCTGAACTCAACCTCTTCCGTTTAGGGGCAATCCATTCATCTACTTTCTTTAACCCATTCAAAACCAATCACGCAGGATTTGCAATCATTGAGTACGAATATAAGCTATTCTGAACTAAAGTTGCAGTCACCTACTTCAACTGCCAGTACAGATTCACAAAGAACCTTTGCACTAATGAAAATTGATACTCTAAAGTGCCAAATCATAAATCTAACTCAAAGGAAAAACATCAATCTTATTTTTTTAGAATTTTATTTTATTCAAAGGTAAAAACATTGCAGCAAAACTGTTGCTCTAGTGAACTTAAAATGATTGACCTTTTTTTAATGAATCAGAGCCAATTTGCGGACACCTCAACTGCACCTGATACCTCCTACCAGCACTAGGTAACTCTTCCCACCAAGTCTTAAGCAAATGGGAATAAATCACCTAGTATTTTTCCTCGCACTTCATCGACAAGAGGCAACAAAAGAGCATAGAAAATTATAGGGCGATGGAAATGCGAGATCCTTCGGTCCAATTCAAAGCAATCACTATAACTAACGCAATTTAACGGAATGCTTACAAAACACATACGTATAATTTAGTTTTACAATCAAAAAATTAAAGAAATAAAAAAATAAGAAATATCAAGAGTAAAAGAGGAGATACTGACAGCAACAGTCACTTGAAGTGTATAACCCTCAGCAAATGTATAATCACTTGTTGTTGTTTCCAGCTTCGACGAACTTAATATCAGACAAAATCAAATGCAAGAAACTTTTAGCAACGCCAATTTTTCTTTTTTAAAAGAAAAAACCCCAAATATATGAAGAAAAAAGTGGGGCCTTGGGGGAGGGGGGCATAGAGAGCTATGTGAGAAAGAAGTAGTGCACTTACATGTTGATTCCGCCGGAGAAAGAGAGCAGAGTAGGGCGCGAGATGAAAAGTGTTGGCGTTGGAGGTGGAGAAAGCGCGCTAAAGTTGAACCAAATAAATGCAAGCGAGTCCACGAATAAAATAAGGGTCCTTTGGTTTGAACACAATTTAACACCTTGTTTGGACTTTTTGTTATGTATTTTCATAATGTATAGTATAGTATTGTATTATACTGTATCGCTTTGATATATACAATATTTGGATAGATTCTATTGTTTAACATCATTCCATAATATCGTGCACCATGAAGAATAAACTTGTAATATTATAAAGAAAAGTAAGGTGCAAGGTAGAATTATTATATAAAAAGATAGGATAAAAGATAAAATATGATTATTGTAATACCCATTACAAAAAAAAGAGGGTAATTAAGTAATTTACAAGAAAAAAAATTTATTACAAATAAGATGAAATAGGGCAAAGCCCTACGCTAACTAACAGAAACAAAAGGAAAAAGGGTTGAAGCCCTTTCTCTGACCAAAAAAGCAAAATAAAAGAACGAAAAGGGATTTAGGGGAAGGGATACTCACGGCAGAAACACAACAAAAGAAAAAAAAAGGGGGGGGGGGGGGGGGGGGAGGGTTGAGTGCAAACGAGTTCCATCGCTGGGATATTACCGGAAGCAACACTATAAGGGAAAAAGATTTAAGCTTCTGGCAGTAAAAGTCATAAGCAAAGGGAGGAGAATTGAACATATATAACAACTTTCAGTAGCAGTATTCTTCAACAGAAAGAGGTTAATATTTTTTTCCTTTATTTGATTTTGCTTCAATTTCTGGTGCAGTTCTTTATATCTCAATTCATCTTATGGGATTTCGATCGGATATTGCAAATATTATATATTATGACCACAACACTATTTATGGTTTAATTTAGAGACGCGGTTGTGGAAATTAAATAGTACAGTAAGCTATACGACTGTCGTTATTTAGAAAAATTTTAAATTTATTTAAGTTAACTGTAGTAGTAAGTTGGATACTGAAATGGGTCTTGATATTTCAAGTAAATTAAGAGGGATTTGTTGAGTTATTATAATTCGGTGAATTAAGAGCCAAATATGAAACTCCGATGATTTGGGTATTCCAAGTTAGCTATGAATTAGCCTAAACATGGAAATTAACATGAGATCGATATTATGTAATTATAGATTGATTGGAGAAAGTTGTACGAATTGTTCGAGGTGAAGCATTTGGTATTTCGGCACGAGTACTGTGAGTAGTAATCTTACTGCAATTTGTGTTTTCATAACTTGCATGATTTACACATGATTTTTAATATGAATATGTTACCGATTATTTTGAGTTTGCATGTGGGACAAGTCTTTTACTCAATATGATACCGAAATAGTTATTCGAGATGATTATCGTTGTTTTAATGTTCTTGTTGTCACTAGGTAAGTTTTACCGTTACTTGAATTTACTGTTATCGAAAGGAAATTATATGATTTGATAAGAACCGAAATGCCCTATATTGTTTTAAAATATTTTCTACGAGTATATACGGATTACAGAGACAAGTATAAATAGGAGTAGACATTGAAGGATCTCGTAGCTAACGGCAGGTTCGTTAGACCTGGTGCACCTTGTAATTACCGATTACCATTATAGCCCTCGCTAGTGGGAAGGTAGAACTAGCATACCGTTACCGATTTCCCTCGAGTAGGGACTATCGTTATATTCGACTTCTTGCAAAGAAGTCCACAGTTATACCGATTACATGATCCGTTCATTGAAACCTCCCAAAATATGAATATTGATATTATACAGTGGCTACCAAGCTTATTACGGAATTGTCAATCGTATTATACTACTAGAAAAACAGACTGAAAATTGTTTATTGTTTCTGAAAGGGCATTTTGATGTTATTTTCTGTTTGAGATACTAGCATGTTTTCTGACTTGTCCCCAATAAAAACGGTTGTGGTTAAGTGTTATTACTCACTGAGCTAGCGACTCATTCCCCACTAATTTTTTTTACAGAGACAGCAGTTGACGCGGGCGAGGATTTCGTTAATTAAAGCGTACAAGTTGATAGTTCTTGGGGAGCCTCGCACTTGTTCGCGTGGGCGGAGATTTTAATTATTGTTATGGCCTTTTCTTTGAACTCTTAGAGTCTCTCCATAGTCATATTTTAGTGTCTTGAGTATTTCTTCGCTATTATAGTCTTATGTTGAGTATCGCTCATTCTTATCAAATTTGGAGATAAAGTTGTATTTCTAGTTGTTAGTGGGCGGACTATTAAATGTAGATATTTGTTTTGGTTAATTGATAAAGTCATTGTCAATTGAACTACTATTAGGATGTTTGGTTGTTGATTTGAGACAGAAAAATTTTTGGAATAGTCCAAAAACAGGGGAAATTTTGTCCGATTTTCTGTAAAATACCGATGAGGCTTACTTGGGAGCACTTGCTCCTAAGCGCCGGTCACGATCCTAAATTGGGTCGTGACAAAGTTGGTATCAGAGCCCTAGGTTATTCTTGTGACTAATGGAGCACACGTCCGTAGTAGAATCTCAATTATGGTTATGTAGCCGGTCATTCCCATAATCGTCATTCTGCGATGGCGTGATAGGATGTGTCTTGTCTTTCTTTCTTTTTCCTCTGTATGTGTGTGGCGATTAGGACCAAATAACTGAATCTGTCATTACTTATCCTATTTTTGTATGGCTCGGACCAATTACTCTATAATAGAATTTGACTAGAGGTTCAAACTTCAAAGACACCAAATTCGCTAATGGACATGCAGTCATCTCCAAGCAAAGAAATGTTTCATAAGTAGTATACAATACCAGTGAAAGGTTTATTATGCCATATGAAGTACTATCTGGTAAGATGCATAATAGAGTGCATTTCAGAAATTTATACTAGTCCACCACTACAGCGATAGAGGAGTGCTATCACAAAAAGGTACTTACCTCCATGGAAAAAAAGAAAAAAAATTGAGATCTTTATGGATATACTAGATAGACACGAGAAGAATGGGCAACAAAATAGGGGCTCTAAAGTCCTCATGCACCTAGAAGATTATGGGGACCAACAAAATATTCTTAATAAACTTCCTAAAGTTGAAACTACTAAGTTTACTATTTCTGATAGTTCAAAGGATCCTTAAAGGTTTTAGTAAAATACTTACCATGTTATGAGCCATAGGATATTTCATGCAGAGGTCTATGGAACAGGAACCTTTTAGACTAGAGAACATGACGAATACATGAAATGCTACTGTACTGTTAGAGATGACAACAAGAGCAACACAACTAATTTCGGAATAAATTTCACTATTGTGTTTTTGAATCACCTCCTTCTTGACGGTTTGTAACGTGAACTTGCCTGCTAGATCATTTAAGAAATTGATTTAGACGTTTGGTATACTTACATATAACACCAAACTTTCTTAGCTGGATACACAAGCAACATCATAAGTTTATAGGCTTGTTGAAAGGTTGGTTAATTGTTTAAACAAGAGAGTAACTGCATATATGAAGACTTAAACCTATTCTGTAGCAATTGCACTTACCAGAAAGATTGAAAATATGGACATGATAGGCGGGCAAGAATTCACATAAGAAGATCGAGATTAGAATATCTTTTAGTATGGATTTTAATATGAGTCTAAGATTTAAACAATCAAGAATGTTTTGAGATATTAAGTGATCCTTTTCAGATTGTCACATCTGTAAAAAATTTATTGTAGTTAGACATGTGTTTAAAACTTTTAAGATTCAAATTAAGAGAAGGAAACCCTAGCTAACCAAGTTGCCCTTGATATGGTTGACTCTAACGTACAAATGGATATGGATTAATTATCTTCTTACCATGCTACCCTCGATTACTATAGAAAGACTATTAGGTTTGAGTAACTTTAAAAGCTGATTTTGTCCAAAAAGGGGATTATAGGTTTTAGAGACGAGGAAATTATATATTTTGAAGACTTAACGGTTATAGTAGAAAGGCTGTTTGGATCTCATAGATACGGTAAGAGGCACAAGAGAAGAAACACTTAGTTTGAGGAAAAAAAAGTATCATAATGAGAGATTCTCTAATGTATTCTTAAGGATTTACTAGGACTACCTTCAATATGAGAAATAGACTTCGGTAGAGTTGACACCTGACACGTAAACCATATTATATGGCACCAACATAGTTGAGAGAGCTAAATGAATAATTGTGAGACCTACTGGATAAGGGTTTTATCATACCGAGAGTTTCACCATGGGGTGCATCAATATTCAAAAAAAAAAAAAAAGAATGAGAGAGAATAGGTCCCTAAGAATGTGAATCAACTACAAATAATTCGATGTCCGCCTCTAGAACTCGGTACATACATTAGGAGTTACTTGTGATGCCTTTTGGACTGACTAATGCTCCAGCTGTATTGATGCATACAATGGATATGGTGTTCAAGTTGTTTTTGAAAAAAAATAAATAAAAAAAAATCATAGTTTTTACTTACTATATTCTGGTATATTTTTGTAGCCAGGAAGAGCACGAGAATCAGTTGAAAAATACGTTAATGTCGCTGCAGGAAAATTTACTTTTTACCAAGTTCTTCAATTAGCTAGATCGATGGTATTCATAGGACACATGGTATCTAAGAATTAAAAAAAATTGTAGATTCTAAGAAGATATAAACAGTTCATAAATGGCTGAGACCCATTTCCCCTACAGAGATTACTTTGGCTTGACAAGCTACCATAGGCATTTGTGTAGGATTTCTCTAGAATAGCACCACCACTCACCAAGTTAACATAGAAAATCGTTAAATTTTAGTGGATGGAGAAATGTACAACGAGAAAGCATGTTTGACAATCACAGTAATATTAGCCTTATTCCAATAGGCTCTAGAGCATTCATGATGTTATGTGATACTTCGAGGTAGGATTAGGATATTTTCTCATGCAAAAATAGTCGCGTGATAACCTATGCTCTAAGGAAATTGAAGGAGCTCAAGTACGTTAATTATTTGGAGATGGTCATATTGGTATTTCCTTGTAAGATTTAGATACACTATTTATACGAAGAACCCTATGAGATTTATACCTAGCACAAGAGCCGGAAGTACATTTAAAACCAACAGAGATAAATTTTTAGCAATGCTGATGGAGGGAACTACTAAGGATATAATTGTACTGTTTTGTACTATTCGGGAAGGATAAATATTATAGCTTATGCCAAAAAAAAAAACTATGGTTGATTTGACGCATTTAGCTCCTGTAGAGATACTTCTGGATGAAGATATGCATAGACTAGAGGGTACACGTATTAGATTCAATGTGAAAAAAATTTAATGACATTATTGGTTATTGGTCAAGCCCGATGTAGAGTGTATAAAGGCTAGCCAATACGAGGATGAACGATTATTTAATTACCGAGATTAGTTTCTAGCTGGTAAAAGCAAGGATGTGATTGTTAATAGTGAGGGTATTCTCCGACTAGGTAATTAATTATATGTAGCAAACATATATAGGTTGAGACAAACTATTCGTGATGGAGCTCACAACTCTAGATACAATGTATATCTCAGGTCTATAAGATGCACCATGTCTATAAAAAAAATTGATTGGTTGGAAAAGAAAGAAGAAAAAAAAAGTCGTTAACTTCATCTCTAACCATTTGACATGTCGGCATGTTAAGGCAAACACGTGTGACTCACAGGCCACAACAATAATAATACAAGATTCTGAAGTAGAAATGCAATAGAACTATAATACATTATATTACTAAATTATCCAAACCATTAGAGGTATGATTACGTGGGAAGTAGAAAAAGATATACAAGCGAAGTATCCCCATTTATTTCAGTCCATAGATACGTACGTAAATTAAATTTAGGGGTTCATTCGGCCTAGTGTGTCGCCTTGGGGTGCACCAGTTCTGTTTGTGAAGAAAAAGGATGGCACTATGAGGATGTGCATTTATTATAGGCAATTGAACAAGGTAACAGTTACAAGTATCCTTTGCCTCGCATTGATGATTTATTCGACCAGCTTCAGGGAGCGAGGGTATTTTCCAAGATTGATCTCCGTTCGGGTTATCACCAGTTGAAGATCAGGGATTCGGATATTCTTAAGACGGCCTTCAGGACCAGATATGGTCACTATGAGTTCCTGGTTATGTCTTTTGGATCGACCAATGCCCCAGCAACGTTCATGCATCTGATGAACAGCGTGTTCTGGCCTTATCTTGACTCATTTGTCATAGTTTTCATTGATGATATTCTAGTATATTCACGCAGTCAGGAGGAGCACGCGGAGCATTTGAGGGTTGTATTGCAGAGATTGAGGGAGGAGAAGCTTTATGCAAAGTTCTCCAAGTGTGAGTTTTGGCTCAGTTCAGTGGCATTCTTGGGGCACGTGGTGTCCAGTGAGGGTATTCAGGTTGATCCAAAGAAGATAGAGGCGGTTCAAAGTTGGCCCAGACCGTCCTCATCCACAGAGATTCGTAGTTTTCTTGGTTTTGGCAGGCTATTGTCGCCGGTTTGTTCAGGGATTCTCATCTATCGCATCGCCCTTGACCAAGTTGACTCAGAAGGGTGTTTCATTTGTATGGTCGGACGAGTGTGAGGAGAGCTTTCAGAAGCTCAAGACAGCTTTGAGCACAGCTCCAGTGTTGGTTTGGCCATCAGCTTCAAGTTCATATACCGTGTATTGTGATGCTTCAAGAGTAGGGATTGGTTGTGTGTTGATGCAGGAGGGTAGAGTTATTGCTTATTCTTCTCGTCAGTTGAAGCCCCATGAGAAGAACTACCCCGTTCATGATTTGGGGTTGGCTGCCATAGTTCACGCGTTGAAGATTTGGAGGCATTACTTGTACGGCGTATCTTGTGAGGTATTCACTGATCATCGCAATCTTCAGCATTTGTTCAAGCAAAAGGATCTTAACTTGAGGCAGCGGAGATGGTTGGAGTTACGTAAGATTATGACATCACTATATTGTACCATCCGGGAAAGGCCAATGTGGTGGCCGATGCTTTGAGCCGAAAGGCAGTCAGTATGGGGAGTTTGGCATATATTCCAGCTGGGGAGAGACCTCTTGCGGTTGATGTTCAGGCTTTGGCCAATCGGTTGGTGAGGTTGGATATTTCGGAGCCCAGTCGGGTATTGGTTTGTGTGGTTTCTCGGTCTTCCCTATATGAGCGCATCAGAGAGCGCCAGTATGATGATCCACATCTGCTTGTCCTTAGGGACAGAGTTCAGCATGATGATGCCAGAGATGTGTCTATTGGAGATGATGGGGTATTGAGGATGCAGCGCCGAATTTGTGTGCCCAATATAATGGGCTTCGGGAGC